TCTGGGTTGGCATCTGTGGTCATTTAACACTGGGAATACTTTGGTCCAGGCTCTTCTGGCTTTCATAGTTTGCATTGAAAAGTCAGCTGTGATCCTAATGGGTTTTCCTTTATATGTGACTTGTTGTTTCTCTTTTGCAGCTTTCAGAATTTTCTCTTTGTTTTGTGCGTGGGGACCCAAGACCAGGAATGGCTCAGGGCCCAAACCAGGAGCAGAGAACAGCGGGGGAGATTGAAGGGCGAATGAGGCCGGGGGAGTCAAGGCGCGGAGTGCTCCGTGATAGACCCACCCCAAGAGGCCTGAGGATAGGCGAGCAGGCCAGGAGCACAAATAGTGTTTTTTAAGACTTTCAGGAAAGAAAACGTGAGAGAAGATGGGCAATATGCTATTCAGTATTTGGGTAACTAATACATAGCTTGTAAATCCACAAATGGGATACTATTATTCTTTACAGATCTATTTCCTATGTGTTTACTCTCAAGCCTTTATTTGATCCCAAACCATGTTTCACCAAATGCTGCAACCATCCTAAGAATTCCGTGGCCTCTGTTTTGTTGGTTTTCTTAAGCATGCCATGTTTCTAAAGGAGTATTTGCATGGGCCTCATATTCTACTACAGTATAGTGCTTCCTCTTCCTGTAAATCTGTAGCTGACCTTCCTGTGTTAACACTGAAATGACTAGTTATGTGTATTATTAAAAATCTGTCTCCATAAACAACCAGACAATGGAGGTAGTGCCCCAGTTGCCTCACTCCGGCTGGTTAAAGAGCTGTGGTCAGGTAGTATCTACTTATGAACTGTCCTGGGGACTTAAAGGAAGCAGAGCTTGTCTTGCTCAACATGAAGCCTGTGAAATCAGATTTCTGGGATCCCCACCCATGTCCTGCCATTTAATTGCCCTTAGATCTTGAACAAGTTATTTACCCTACCTGTGCCTCCACTTCCTTTTTATATATGAAGGTAATGGTAGAACATTCCACGTAGGTGTATAGTGAGTTGTGAGTTGAAGACTGATGATAAGTCCTAAAGCATATTGTGATCTCAACATGTTAACTGTTGTATCTGAAGAATTAATAAAATCTTCCTTTTATTCTCTTAATCATTTTTTTCTTTTTGCCACTTTCTTTTCTCAATGTACATTTTTTATTGAATTTTTGTGTTTCATAAAATACATCCTAAGCACATTTAGACCCCCTTCTTGATCTGCACCCCCTTGTAGCTCCCCCCACCAGATTTCATGCATTCTGTCATACATGTTAAGGTCTATTGAGTCAAATTTGTGTCCCCAGATGTCCCTGGGTGTTTTGATCATTTTTATATGAAATTCTTTTTACAGAGTATAGATGGCCTATCAGATCATCCTCTTCACTCTTTTCTTCTTGAGCACAGATCTCAATGCTGTTCTTTTAAAGATTTCTGCTCCAAGGAAAGGCTTGTCCACCTGTTTTACATGACTACTTTGAAAAGGAATATTATTCATGAGACAGAGGCATAGGAGAAACTATACCAGATTGAAATGCATATGCTTTAAACTCAATGTTTTTTTCTTTAATATTTTATTATTCGTATTTTATGTGTATGAGCATATTGCCTGCATGTAAGTATACCTGTGTTGTGCAATGCCCTTGGAGGTCAGAAGAGGGTGTCGGATCTCCTATAACTGGAATTATGGATAGTTGTTAAGTCACCATGTATGTGCTGGAATTGAACCCAGGTCCTCTGCAAGAGCAGTGAGTGCCCTCAACCACTGAGCCATTTCTCCAGCCCCTAAACCAAAATATTTAAGAGATACACATGAAAGAGTCTTCTTGTGTTTGTCTTATTCTTTATTGTGCTCTTTAATTCTGCTAACTTTTTAAGTATGTATTTCTTTTTTTTTTTTTCATTCTAGGAACTGTCATCTCACAAGAAGCAAGGCCCTGGCCTGCTGAGCAGGATGGGACAAACGGTCAGAGCTGTCGCATCCTCCATGAGAGGAGTGAAGAACAGGCCGGAGGAGTTCATGGAAATGAACAACTTCATCGAAATGTTTAGCCAGAAAATTAATTTAATTGATAAAATATCTCAGCGAATTTACAAGGAAGAAAGGGGTATGTTGAATCACTGAGGAGTGATTTTACACTTGTCGAACTCCTTTGGATCCTCACTTTGACAAATGTGGTGTGGGAAAATGCTTAGAATTTTGTTGCAAAGCTTGACTCATGCCCTGCCATGTGTTGAGAATTTTGCAGGAACTGGGGAGATGACTTAGTTAGTTAAGGGCTTGCTGTATACTCAAGCATGAGGGCCTGAGTTCTATCCCTGTCACCCATCTGAAAACCTGTGAATGCTGGGATGCACATGCAATCCCAGTGCTGGGATGGCAGGGATAGGCAGATTCCAACAAGGCTGGTTTAATCATTGAGCCCCAGATCCCAGTGAAAGGCCCTGTCTCAAAATCAAAGCTCCTGAGGAAAAACACCCGAGATTTTCCTCTGGCTTCCCTGTGCACCTGTATACCCATACATGCACGTACTCACACTCACAAACACACATACACATATAAAAAAATTACAATTCCCAAGCGAATTTGTGGGTAGTCCTGGCCAATCCCCTTTTAATTTTATTGAGCTCCAGCTGTTCTTGCATCTGTATGTGGATGATGCTGGTAAAGCCTGCCCTGAGCTTGAGATTTGGATGTAGTTGTATGACATTGGTATCAAATATTCAACATGGGTCATGTTTCAAAGCAAAGCATGGCATTTCAGGAATTGGATTTTTCTGTGTTATCTTCTAGTCATATTTTGGTGGAGTTATTTGTGGTGAAAAACTATGTATTAGACCTTTCCAAGTATGTTATAAAGATTTAAATATTGGGGGCTGAAGAGATGATGGCTCGGTGGTTATGAGCACTGACTGCTTTTGCAGAGGACCTAGGTTCAATTCCCAGCACTCACGTGGCAGCTAACAACCATCCATAACTGTTTCCAGGTGAGCCACCATCCTCTTCTGACCTCTGCAGGCATTTCACAATACAGGTGCACTTACATATATGCAAGCAATATACTCATACACATAAAAATAATAAAGTAAAATTTTAAAGAAATATTTAAATATTGGAAAGTAGATTTTTTTCTATTTTCTAACATAAAATTTTTGTACTAGTCTTTATTTCTTAATGGTCCTACTCTAATTCTATAATGATTTTTATTTTCTAATTGCGATTACTTACATTAGAGAGATAGATGAATTGGCCAACATAATTTCTAATATAATTTGATATTGGAGATGAGCAACTGCTTATAGACAAACAGAAATCCCTGTTAATTGTCTGTGTATACTAGAAAATTGTAAGGTTCAATAAATGACCAGGGGAATTTCTGTTGCATACTAAATAGGTAGCACTAACACATTCTGGATACTCAGTTAAAATTTGTTCAATGGTTTGAAAAATAGATCAGGCTGAGAATCGTGGCACATGCCTTTAATCCCAGCACTCGGGAGGCAGAGGCAGGCGGATCTCAGTGAGTTCAAGGCCAGCCTGGTCTACATAGTGAGTTCCAGGTCAGCTGTGGCTACAGGAAGACTCAAAAAAAAAAAAAAAAAGGAAAAGAACAGGGAGCATAAGACTTGGAATACTGATAATATACTTGCTTTATTAAGAACTGACTTATTATCAGAAGAGATACTTTGGCTGGTGCGTTTATTCAGCAGGCAGTTACTGGCTGCCAGACCTAACAACCTGAGTTCAATCCCGAAAAAAAAAAGGGGGGGGGGATACAGGGGCTGAACTGCTGACTCAGTGAGTCTCAGTCTCTCTCTCTCTCTCTCTCTCTCTCTCTCTCTCTCTCTCTCTCTCGTCTTTTGATGTGCCCTGCCTCTGTCTCCCAAATGCTGGGGTGAGAGACGTGAACACCTGATGCTTTTTTCTTATTCCCAAGCAGCTCTTTTAGCTAGATTCTGATTCCACTTCTGTGAAGGGGATTCCGAATGCCCAGTTAAGTTGGGTCAGCCTGAAGCAGCCTCTGGAAACTGCTGACCTCTAGGAGCTTTACAGGCTGTCCATAAGCTTTGCTGTTACTGGGGCAAGAGAGTAGTTTCATAGAGTTCGGCGCTCATGAAATGTTCAGAGGGAAGCTCAATTCTGACAGTCTTTATGAATTTTCATGGACTCAGTGCTTCTAGCCCACACTCATGGGCTTCTCATTCTTAAGATGTGAACTCGGTTCACATCTAACCTGTGTGGGACACTCATCCATCATGTTCAGGTCAGGAAGCCTTTGATGGTCATAAGTAGTAGTTTTCTTTCTTGACATTTTGTTTTCATTTTGCACTCAGTTGTTTTAATTTTTTCTATTATTTTTTTCCTGTTTCCCAGTCTATTCAGCAGAATTCTGTTGAGCACATGATGTGATGTTTCTCTGTGCTAGAAATTTAAGAAGGAATTAAAGTCCCACTTGCCCTTGACCTCACAGTGTAGTTGGGGGGAAGAAATCACTATGTGAATTACGTGTTAGCATGGAGATGCTGTTTTAGTGCTGTGTAGTTTTAAGGAGGTTCTGTATGTAAAGTATCTGAGGACTTAATGATACGTACTGACATACACACAGATTGAGAAGAGAAATGTGGATAATTTTCTCTCTGTAGGTATTTCTTTCATCACTCACTATTTGACAAAGAATGCACGTAGACTTTAGGGAGTGATGTTATAATTATACCTTACAGCATCATGAGATGATCACATTTTTATGATTTTGAAACTAAACTTCTTTAGTTCATTTGATTATTCAAAAATTTGAGCTCATAGTAGGTTAGAGTAACATGATAGATTTCAGTGAATTCTACTATGTGGAAGGATGGTTAAATGTAGAGAATTCCATTGATACTTACATTCGTGCTTACATTAATACTAGATTAAAAATTCTCTGCATATAAATTCTCTAACATAGAAGGTATGGTATATCTTTTAAAGATTAAATTTTATTTATGTGTATGTGTGCATGTTACTCTCTCTCTGTATGCCACATGTCTGCAGGTATCTGCAGAGACCAGAAGAGGTTCTTGGATCCCATGGAACTGCAGTTCTAGGCAGTAGTGTGCCTCCTGACATGGATCCTGTGAACTAAATTCTGGTCCTCTAGAAGAAGAGCAAGCATTCTTAAATACTGAGCCATCTCTCCAGCTTCAAATTTCTGTATTCTTGAATGCTGATAGTGTGAAAATAAAAATGTAAAAATATTGACATTTAAAAATGAAATCTGATTTTTGAATACACTTGTTTTTGATTTTCAGTGATTTCTAAAAGAGTTTGCTTTGGTCTGATAAGAAAAGGTGCCTCGGCCTTGTAGCATGAGGTCTGCCTCTTGTTCATTCATGCTTTCATTGATATGGAAATATCTTCTGATTACAGCACATACTGGACCCTAAGTTGCAAATAGTGTGGCTCAGCCCCTATTTTAAGGAGAACATAGTCCAGCAATAGATGACATATGCAAGACATTATAATAGAAGGGGCAATGCAGGAACACAAGTACGACACATGATATCCACTTAGAGGACAAAGCAGATTTTGGGGGGAGATCCTTTAGGTTAGGATGAGAAAAGATTTGAGCTGAGATTTAAAGAAATAGAAAATTTACTGGGTGCTAGAAATGATAGATAGCAGGCTGGAGAGATGGCTCAGCGGTTAAGAGAACTGGGTGCTTTTGCAGAGGCCCCGGGTTCAACTTCCAGCACTCACATGGTGGCTAACAACCATCTATGTCTCCAGTTCCAGGGGATCCAATGCCCTCTTCTAACTCCGTGGGCATTGTATGACACGGGTGTACTTACACACATGCAGGCATTACACTCATACACGTAAAATAGTTATAATAAGTATAGTATGTTTTTGTAAAGGAAATGATAGATAGCAAAGCAAAAGCATTTCCCCTTGTGTTTGAGTTTAGAGAAATCATGCTTTGTGCAATTAATATATTCTAATAAAAAGGGAAAATGGGAATCTTGGGGTACTCGTGAATGAAAAATTATTTGGGGTTCAGTAAAAATGTACATAGCAAAAAATCTTAGGTGTTTGATTTGGAATGTCTGAGTGGTTCATCATAAAGGACTTTTTAATTAGATAAGAAACTTCATTATCTATTATTAGGACAAAAACGGAAAATGGGAAAGTAGTTTGGAGTCCTTTGTCATAGGCAAGTGAGAAGTATTGATGGCATGCATGGGAGTAGATGGGTTGCAAGGTGGGAAACTCGACAGAATCTTGATATTTAGAAATAGTCAATTGGTGATTGACAAGGATGAGTCTAGGAAAACATCCACACTGTTGTAGGTCTGGGATAGTGAATAGTATTGAAAAGTTGATATGATTGCATGAAAGGAAGACAACTTTTGTTTAGGCTCTGTTGTCTCTGGTAGAGGTAGTTGTAGTTATATGATAGGAGGTAGTTCATAATAACTATGATGGTTATAACTTATTTTTCCAAGCCTTTTTTGTATATTTTTATTGACCTATTTGTTTGTATTTATACACAGCATCCTAATCATCTTTATACCCCATCCTATCGGTACCCTCCCATAGCCACCCCCCCACTGGATTTCTTACATTCTGTCATTTATGTTAAGGTCTATCAAGTCAAGTTAGTGTCCCCTGATGTCCCTCAGTGCAAGTTCATCCACTGGGATTTAGTCAGCCTGTCTAGAGTCACTCCCTTGAAGATCAGCTCTTCCGTGCCCAGAAGTAAAAAAGAATCTGTTATTGGTTACAGTTGGACAGTAGTTCTTCAAAGACCAACAGGGAAACTAGAATGGATGGTCAATATAATGAAGGAGGATATATATGCCTTTGCATATATCCAAGTATAAGAACATGTACAGAATATCACAAAGTCCTTTCATGCTACTAGTAATGTAGGAATCTGGAAAGCAATTATAAGGGCTGGAGAGATAGCTTAGCTGTTAAGAGCGCTTACTGCTCTTCCAGAGGATGCCAGTTCAGTTCCCAACATCCACGTCTCATGACTGAGACCACCTATAACTCTAGCTCTAAGGGAATCAATTCCCTTGTCTGGCCTTTGTGGGTACCCACACGTACATGGACTCACATAAGCACAAGAATAAAAATGAAAATAAATCATAAAAATGTAAACTGACTTTTGTGCAAGGTGAAAGATAGGGGTTTAGTTTCATTCTTCTACAGGTGGAAATCCAGTTTTGCCAGCACCATTTGATGAACATGCTGTCTTTCCTCCAGGGAATGTTCTTGGCTCCTTTGTCAAATATCAGGTGGCTGAAATTGCACGTACTCATATTTGGATCTTCAGTTTTGTTCCATTGATCTATGGGTCTATTTTTGTGCCAGTACCATGTTGTTTTTATGACTATAGCTCCGTAATACAGATTAATATCTGGTATAGTAACCCCCCCCAGCATTGTTCTATTCTTAGTCCCGTGCTTGGGGTTGTTTTGGCTATCCAAGGTCTTTTGTGCTTCCATACGAGTCTTAGGGTGTTTTTTTCCAATTCTGTGAAAAATGTCATGGGGATTTTGATTGGCATTGCATTGAATCTATAAATGGCTTTTGGTAGGATGGTCATTTTCACGATATTAATTCTTCCAATCCATGAGCATGGGAGGTCCTTCCATCTTCTGATGTCTTCCTCAATCTCTTTCTTTAAAGATTCAACATTTTCATTGTAGAGGTCTTTAATGTCTTTGGTCAGGTTTATCCTGAGATTTTATTTATTTATTTATTTTTTATTTTTTGCAGCTATTGTGAAAGGGAGTGTTTCCATATACTCGTTCTCTGATTGCTTATTATTGGTATATATAAAGGCAATAGACTTTTGTAGATTAATTTTGTAACCTACCACTTTACTGAACGTGTTAGTAATTTCTAGGAGTTTTCTGGTGGAATTTTTGGCATGTCTTAGATATAATATCATATCATCTGCAAAAATGGATAATTTGATCTCTTCTTTTCCAATTATTACTCCTGTAATTTCTTGTCTTATTGTTCTTGTAAGAGTTTCAAGCACTGTGTTAAAAAGGAGTGAAGAAAAAGCTATCTGCCAGTTCTTCTTTAAGTCATCTCAGAAAGGAGTCTATGTAGAGTCTATTGATTGATTGATTTTTTAAAGACAAGGTCTCATTATGTAGCTAAGTGCTGAGATTAAAGGTGTTTACAAACCAAAAAGAAAAAATTGTGGTGAAAATGTTACTACCAAGCTTCAACAACACTATGAAACTTATCACTGTTGCTATAATTTGAATTTTCTTTCACTCCTTTTCTAAATCCTCCAAGTTTTTCAATACAATCATGTAATTTTTTTATGCAATTGTAATAAACTATTTTGTGGTGTTGGGGAGAACAAAAAAAAGGAGTGAATCTAGTGGACAGCCTTGTCTGGTTCCTGATTTCAATGGGAATGCTTCCAGTTTTTCTCCATTTAGAATGATGTTGGCTGTGGGTTTGTTATATATGGCTTTAATATGTTGAGGTATGTTCCCTCCAGTTCAATTCTCTCTAATACTTTGAACATAAATGCATGTTGAATTTTGTCAAAGGCCTTCTTGCATCTA